AAACACCAGTGGGCTCCAGTCACCCAGACCCCAGCAACAGCTCTTCCCACTCAGGCACACAGAGACCATCATTTCCATGAGCAAATTCCAGCTCCTGTTGCTACCAAATCAGGCCAAGGAAGCTCAGCATTTCCTGTTAGTGCTGCAGGAAATTCAGCCCTTTTTTTTTTGCATAATTCACATTAAATCTGACTGGAAACCAGGAGAACACCAACACACCTGTAACAGGCTGCAAATCTAGGGCCAAATTCCCTTTTATGCCAGATAAACCTCCCTCTTCTCCTGTGTTTTCAGTGGGATTTCACTGATCCAAAACCAAACTTCATGTTAAACTCAGACCCTGGAAGCATTTCCTGAGTTTCTGGGTTGCACCAGGGTGCTGTCACCAGCCAGCCAGCACCAAACCCAAAAGACAGAACAGAATGGCTTCTTTCCCTATTGCTGAGATAATAAATACAGTCATGAAGAAGAGAGGACACATACAAATGGCTGGTAGCAAAGAGCTGCTCTTTAATGCCAGCCAATAATGTCACGCTCCTCAGTCTTCCTAAATTTAGATGATTAGCAATGACCAAGCTCTGCTCTCTCTTGATGCATCACTTAACCCCCTAATCAGAAAATCTATCCCGTTCTTGGGCTTTAGATTGATGATGTCACATGAAAGTTGCTTTTTTTTCCAGCAGACAGAGCCATCACAGTCAGAGTGAGCCAGTCCTGAGCATCCCTGCCACGTGCCCCTGTGATTGAGAGGAGTGATATCACCCATTCTGTTGGGGAGTCAACTGCACATCACTATATTTAGGACACATTAAGATGTCACAAATGGCTTTTTATTTTTTTTTTATTTTTTTATTTTTTTTTGCAAAGAATAATTTCATTCATCATCTTAATGCCAGAACTTACTGCCTCTTTTTTTTTTTTTTTTTTTTTTTTTTTTCCAATTTAATAAAAGCAATGAAAAAATTCATTGATTTTTCTCTCCTGGAAGAAACTTTTTTTTTTTTTTTAATTGGCAACTGCAACTCTGATGTTGCTCTGTCCTCCTGCCCATGCTGTCACTTGGCCATCCCAGGCTGTCCCACACTGTGTTTCATGGAGCCTCTTTGATGTTTATAACTGGATCTGGTATTTTTGACACTTTTATTTTGCTGTTTTCCACATTTCGCTTGCTAAATGCTGCTGCTGCACCACTTTCCCTTCCTTCCTACATCCTAAGAGTGTTTTTTACCACATGCCTCTCTTTCCTTCCACTGATTCACACTTTTTCTGCCCAAAGATGTGAATTAACTCAATTCTTTAACTCCTCTGTCTTTCCAAAGTGATGTTTCAATTGGGAGCTGCTGGAACCCTCCTTAAATTTGCTTTTCATTTCCCAGCAGGTTATTAAGGGACTCTTTGTGGAGCCTATGAAATATCCATCCCTGGGGGCTTTTAAGTGTTGGTTAGACAAAGATTTGTCAGAAGTGTTTATTGGGATTTGCTCTTTGCTGGGAGGAGGAGAAGGATCTTTTTCTGCAGCTGGATGAACATCCCACTCCTCCTCCCAGCAGGAGCCCAGCCAGGCTAAGAGGTGAATATTAGGAGGGAGAAATGTTATTATTCTTACAATCTTTATCCATAAATCTCAGTGATTTATAGGTTGATGCTGCTCTGACTTCCCAGGAATGTTGTGCTGCCAGACATGATTCAAGTTCATCCCCACAGTTGTACCCAGAGTTTGTCAACAGCTTGAGTTTCTCTCCAGAGCTGTTGCAGGGATGTAGTTTAGTGATATGTACATTTATATTTTTGTTTCTTTTATCTTTTAATGTGCTCTCTGATAAGAGAAAATCCAAGGAAATACTGGGCTTTTTTTTTTATTTTATATTATTTTTAAAGCCTCTGGGTTATAGAGCCTGACTTCAAATCAGTCCTGACCTTTTGTTCAACAGCTAAAAATGTAAAAACACATAAAAATGTCTATTTAGATATTGGTGGGGGAAAAGAAGTTCATTGATTTTCTAAGTTTGGGAAGCTCCCAGGGTTTTTAAGAGGCATTTGTTCCTGCAGAAGGAGACAGCACTGAGGGTGGGGAAGGGCATTCTCCATTTCCAGAGAAAAAATATATATAAAATTCACTTTCCAAATGGATGAGATGCTGCTGGATACAGCACATGGGCTCCTCCTAGAATTTCACTAGGAGGGGGAATTTCAGCAGGATACAGAAGATTTGTTGAAGTAAATGTTCCTTGTCCCACCCAGAAAAAGGCTTTTGGTGGATGTTTGTGTTTTTAACCCTTTGTTGTAGGGGAGAAAGCATCTTAAGAACAGATTTGGTGATGATTCACATGAATGTTGCTGCCAGGAAGAGCCAGATCCTTCAATATTTGCCAAGAGACTGCACAAAAGTGGAGGAAATTAATACTTAATTCCAAACAACTTTTGATTGAGTTTGGATCTCGTGGCTCTGTTGTTACCCAGTTTTTACTTGCATTTCTAGAGCAATATCTGTGTGACAGCAGCTCCTGGGCAGGGACCCTCCTGCCCCAGGTCCTGTGTTCATAAGAGGAAGGGAAGAAATAGGTAAAAATGTATTAAAGACCAGATAACAGGACGGGCTGGGTCAGGGGAGAGAAGAAATCCCCTCCTGTGGAATGGGAACTGAAGCACGGAGAGATAAGACAAAGAAACTTTCCCTTCACCACCCTGGCAAAATCTGAAGCTCATTTTTGGGAGCAAACCTGCTTTAGGGGCTCTGCTGCTGCCCCACCAGCATTAGCAAAGCCTTCCAGGGGTGAACAATTAGCAGCCAGCTTTAGACAGACAGAAATCACCCAGGGCTTTGACAATTTGTGTCAGGGCAGGAATTTCTCGTTGCCTGTTTGTGTCCCTGGGTGTTCTCAGTTCAGCTGGTTTGCCAACACCAGGACAACTTATTGAAAGTGCAGCAAATAAATCTAGATTTGCATGTGTCAAAGGCAACCTCTGAAGCAGAAGAGCTCTCAGGAGCAAGCTGTGTGGTGGGCAAGGGCATCCTCAGAGGAGCTTCCAAATGCCACCCTGATGCCTTCAGGAAGTCCTGGAGCTTTGGAGAATAGATAAGCTGTGGCTGCCCCATCCCTGGAAGTGTCCAAGGCCAGGTTGGATGGGACTTGGAGTAACCTGGGCTAGTGGAAGGTGTCCCTGCCCATGGCAGGGGGTGGAAAAAGATGAGCTGTAAGGTCCCTCCAACCCAAACCATTCTGTGATACATCTCCAGTTTCTGCAGGAGGAGAGTTTTTGAAGAGCCAGAAACTTCAGCTTCAGGCCAAAGAGGAACCAGCTCAGTGTTTCCTTGAGTTTGGTGGCTACAGAACATCTGCACTGCTGGGAATGCAGGCTGGGAAGCTCAGAGCAGGCAGGGAGAGCGAGAGGCAGGTTCAGCATCAACTCAAGCAGCAAGGAGCTGCATCTCCAGAGCTGCAAAGCTCTCAGGGCTCTGCAGATGAAAGCACCACCTCAGCAGAACTGTTTTAAAAGCATTCACTAAAAGCTCAGATAAGAACAGCGCCAGTTTAGCACGGATTTGGAATTTGAATCGAATCCAAACCTTGCATTTGATCCCCATCACTCTAATGCACTTCAGATTTAGGCCAGGCAGGGGGTTTTGGGATGCAGGTGTTTAATGGATGGTGGCTGAGACAGGGATACCTCAGAGGGAACACACATTCCATTGGAAACATCTGTCTGTGCTGCAGATGGGAGATCTGCAGGGTAAGATGAGGAAACCTTAAAGGAATGAAAACACAGAGCACAGAAAAACAGGGAAAGAAATAGCCTGAGAAAAAATCTCTTCCTAAAGCAGGACAAATGATCAAATATTATCATATCCACCTAGAAGAAATCCATCATATCCAAGGCATCCCAAACAAATGCTCTGCAGGGAGGCAGGGGGAGCTTTGGCAAGGTCAGTGCAATGAAAGGAGGCCTTTTTTTAGGATGGGTGGACTGGGGCTCCTGCAGGACTTTGAAGCAGGAGGCAGGATCTATATTCAGCAAAAGACCTCCTGCATTTCCAAATTGCCTGACCCTGGCTCACCTCTGGATTGAACTCCTCCATCTCCCCATCTGAAGTGATGCCCTGAACTGGCATTAATGGGGGAAATCCCAGGGGAGTGACCTGAACTGCATTACAAAGGTGGGAGGATAAGAACCTCTTTGAGGAAGAAGATTAATTAAATATGATGGCTACAGCGTTTCCCAGCCTGGGAAATTTTACATTCCATGGGAACACACTGCAAAATATTCTCAGAGGTTTTATCTTTCCGTGCAGAAGTGGGATTTATTAGGAGCATTGCTCCTTCTGAAAGTATCTCTGGGTGGGATTGGTGAGTAGTCAGACAGTTCATGGGCTGTCTGACCTCACCTGGTGCACTTTAATACACAATTTAATTTAGTAGGAACCTTAGGCCAGTTCTTTGTCTTTTCTCTAGCTGGGCTGAGCTCAGATTGGTGTCTCCAATGCAGCATTCCCTGCTTTTTCCATGTGTTCAGAGCTCCATCATTTAGCTCAGTCATTTTTGGAGCTCTGAGACCTGGCTGCTGTGAGGGCTGGCTACGACAAGTGCAGGTATTTTATCTCAAATAAGCATCTCAAAAAACCCCACAGAACCCTTGTTGGAAGCGTTTCCTGATGGCAGGAATTCCTTCCCTGGTGCTCAGGGTTGTACAAAGGTGATTTATTAGACAACTCAGTGCTTAACTCCCAAAAACCAGTGGAGGTAAAGGGGATCTCTCAGAGTTTCACTCACAGGGGGTCAATTCTCAGCTCAAGGGGCCCAAATTTCACCTGGATTTTCAATAAAAACTTCCAAAGTACTTTACTCATAAGACTTGAACACCCTCAGCTACTAGTTAGGCATCAGAGGTAATAGAATCTAATTTGTCCATTCTTGGAAGAGTAAAACCAACTCATTTATTTTCAGGTGATTTCAGTTACCCAAATGTATTTTCTTCAGCAAGATAAGGAAAGACAACCAGACCTGAGAAAGCAGTTGCTTGAAATCATCCAGTGTTACTTCTAACTCGGATTGAAAACACTCTTCCTTTCTCTAAACTTCTAGAAATAATAAGGCACTGAAATTATAGAAAAACATGAGTGATAGGTTTGCTAACAAACTAAAGAATAAGTGAATTTTGCCTCAGACATTGCTGGAAAACCTGCATTTCCTAGATGAGCTCTATTTAAAAAAAAAAAAAATCAAATCAATACATATTAGATTAGCTGCATTTCAATTTTGACTCAGTATTTCAGACTTGGCTAGTTTTAGGCAGATTAAACTCAGAGCATTGGATCCCTCCCGAGTTTAGGGGTCATGGAGTTGACCCACTGAACAGACCGTGGATTAGGAAATCAAAATGGCCAGAACACATCAGTGTTTCAAGGAGGAACTGCAGTTGCAACACCAGTTCAGAGCACACTCTGCTCATTTTCTGCTTCTGAAAGCCTCAATTTATTTTCCCCAGAGCAGAAGGAAGAGTCGCCTTCAAGCAGGGAACACTCTGGTGAAGCTGAACAGCTTCCAGGTTTGTGAAGGCAGCCAGGAGGAGTTAGCTGGAGTCATTTTAGAAACAATAGGCATTTGAAGTGCTCCACATTACAGCAAGCAAAATGAATTTTCAGCTTTGTAGGCAAAGCTTAAAATCCTCAGCCAAGAACTCGAGTGCTGCATTCGGGATATTTCGAGGTACTCGGGTTTCTATCACCAGGTAAAGCTGAAAAAAGCTGGAACTTCTCCTGCTGGATTCAAGGCTTTAGGAAAAAGCTTCTTTCCCCCTCTGCACCCACAAACCCACCTGGGCTGGGCTTTTCCACTGAGGCCCTGGCACAGGGTGCCCAGAGAAGCTGTTGATGCCCCATCCCTGGAAGTGTCCAAGGCCAGGTTGGATAAACTTGGAGCAACCTGGGCTGGTGGGAGGTGTCCCTGCCCATGGCAGGGGGTGGAACTGAATGATCTTTAAGGTCCCTTCCCACCCAAACTATTTTATGATTCCTGGCCAAGAGGCTTCACCTGGATCAGAACCTGCTCCACCCTCCAACCCACCAGAACCTCAGACAAAGTGCTGCTGTCCATGAACAGCCACTGGGTTGTTGTTTTTTTTTTTTTTAACCTTAGTTAAAATGGAACAAACACGAGGCTTTATAGAAAGTGGCAGGTTCTTAATTATTGTTATAATTTATTTAGTGTTTCCTGACAGGAGCTCCAACCTCTTCTGCAGAAGGTGCTGAGCACACAAGCCATTTGAAAGGACAGGCACTGCCTCTAAGTGCTTTTCTGGGGGAACTTGGACAACAGAGAGCTCAGCAAATTAGTTGCTAAAAGGAACTAATCCAATTGTCTTTCTTTCCAAGTTTCTTTTTTCAGACTCTCCAAGACTTGATTTTCTCAGGTGCATCTACTCTCATACACTCTGGTATTTTGTTTTTAAACCAGTGGTTCAGTCATTCAGGGCTCTCCACAAATAAAAACCAAATTATCCTGCTAATTTATGATGTTATTCTTGCCCCACAGATGGGTTTAACTACTGCTGGTATGAATAATTTCCCTGACAACGTTTAAAATTAATTTTCCTCCAAAGTATCTAAATGCAATTTTGGAAACAAAATGCTGGTCTCACAGGTTTGATTACGTGATGGGCTGAGCCATAACCTCTGAACCTCATCTCAGCCTGGATGATATTTCACTAATAAGTAGATTCTTTTTGAGGCCAAAATACTCTTAAATTATTGCATCCACCCTCCTATACCATTAGGTGCAGGCTTTTCATCCTTTCTCACCATTTCTTTAGACCTAAAGACAATTAGATGAGGTCGTGGACAGCAACTCATTTCATGTATGACCTTCACCAGGACATTTCTGTTGCTCATGTTTCAGCTTTCTAATGTACAAAATAGTCTTTCCCCTGCCAGGAAGGTGCACTGAAACCTCTGAACAAAAACCAGTTCAAAAAACCTCTGCTCCTCCAACCCTCCCCTGCCCCATCACAGCCCTGCTTTGACACTCGCTGCTCCTAAAAAAGCAAACTCACATCCCCTGACGCTCAGAACGAAATCAGGCCAAGGTTTTATTCTCCAGTGGGCAGGCTGTAATTAATAAATTACTCAGTGGAAGGAAATCCGGGGAGGGAAGTGGCATTCTGGCATCTCCTTGTGCCAGGCTGACCCAGGGAAGGAGCCCTGCCCGGGCTCGCCGGCTGTCGCTGCCAGCAGGGCAATCCCCACTGCAGCTCTGCTCACCCAGCAGGGCTTCACACGAGCACAAACCACCCAAAAAACTCCCTCCACGGCGCTCAAACGCTTTACTTCAACTGCTCCTCTTTAAAACAACAACAGCAACAACAAAAAAGGCAAGAAAGAGAGAGGCAGAAGCAGCATTTCGCAGCACACCCCGGCATGTGAAGGGTTACTGCTCCCTTTTGGAGGTATTTTCACAGAAAGGAGTTCGGGTCACCTCAAGTCAAAGGCTGCCTCGGCCTCCCCATGTAAATCTATTTAAATGAAATGTATCCAATAAGATCCACAGGAGATAAAGTCCATCAGCTCTGAGTGGCTGCTTTGGAGTCTGGATTGAAAATTGTTTTTGTGTGACAGGGAAGGTGCTTAAGAGAGTGAAAAGGAAAAAAAAAATCATTCAGTGAGTTAGAAAATTACTCCAACTTCTAGACCATGTCAAACTAAATATAAAACAAACAAACTATGGCAAAGGAATGAATAATTTAAAGCAGCAGTTCCTATATCACATCAGAAAAGGCATTTGTGGAGCTTTGTACTCACTGTTTCCGTCCATGGGCTTGTGCTGGAGCCACTCTCCTCCCACTCAGAGCCTCCTGCAGGCACAACAGCTCCCAAATCTCTTGTCTCCTGGTGGTTTCTGTCATGGAAAGCAGCAGCTCCAGGCTGCAGGGTTGGAGCAGCACTGCCAGGAGCCACTCAGAGCTGACTCTGAGCACACACCTAAACTTTTCACCTATATTTTATCCTTTCCACGCACTTTATGTCCTATTTTTATCCTTATTACAGGAGCACAGTCAGCACCCAGAGGTGTTCCAGAGGGCCTGGGGCTTCCCAAAACCAAACCATCCCTGCATCTCCTGCTGGAATTCCTACAGGCACCCAGAGAGCCCCACCAGGGCAGAATGCCCCTGGCCAGCACCTCTCCCTGCCCTCATCCCACCTGCTAAAAGAGGAGCTGGGCCTCAGGGTTGGGGTATTTAAGAGCCTGCTGATGGTCATTAGAGACAGCTGATGGTCATTAGAGGCAGTTGATGACATCAGAGACAGTTGATGGTCATCACAGACAGCTGATGGTCATTAGAGGCAGTTGATGACATCAGAGCCTGCTGATGGTCATTAGAGGCAGTTGATGACATCAGAGCCTGCTGATGGTCACCTGAGCTCAGCAGCAAAGTTCAGAGGCTCCAGATGGCAACAGTGATGTCCTGCTGGGAGATCCCATCCTTGTCCCCAGCTCTGTGCACATCTTGCTTCCAGTGGGGTGATGCAAGTGGGAATATTGGCCCTGAGCAAAAAACCCCTGGGTGATTGCTGAGGGACAACCAGCTCACCCCCAGCATTTCAGGGTGGCTGAAGGGCCCATGGTCCATGAAGAGGTTGGTCACCCTGACTGCCACTGCTCTGTGGAGTGTGACTGTGCTCTGCTCACTCCCATCCCAGCTGGTGAGGGTGCCAAAAATATCTGCCCTGCAGGAGATCTCCTGGGGCTCATGAGGTAGATCAGAGGGACACACAGGAGCTTGGCACAGAGGACAGGACATGCCCCAGGCTTTGTGTTTTCAGAGCCTGAATCCCACAGGGTCCCCTCTTACAACTTAAATCATCTCCTCTGTGGAATTTGGAGCCTGGGCCACATCACCCAAAAAGCCTGGATGTCTGTAGCTTTTACTCATCACTGAACTGGGTTAACTGAACTGCTGACCCAGTTATGAAATGCTCCACATCCCATCATTTACCAGCCCTCACAGGCCACCTCACAGCATGGGAAATGCTGAGGAAAAGGAATATCTAAGATAAACGGCTAGAAATAAATTAACAGTAAAAAGCAAAACCCCATATAGAAGAGATGGAGCAAAGAGATAGAGAGTAAACACAGAGAAGGTTAATTTTTATTTCCTTATAGAAAGGAATATGAAAAAATAGCCAGAACTGGGACATATCTAAAGAAAGGAAAGCAAAACATGAAGCTTGGTGGATTCAACAGAAAGGTCCCTCTTTGCTCGTGCAGCTTTGAGCCAGACATGGAGATAAAGAAACCAGAACCTGAGCTGGGATAAAAACAGGCACCAGATGCCATATTTCTTCTGGTAGCTGCCAGGGTGATGGGTCACTGGTGATGGATTGCAGAGGAGGAGCCAAGAGTGATGACAGAGGTCTCCTGGCCCAGGGCCAGCAGCTCTCAAGAATTTGGCTGGGTTTAAACTCAGCCAACATTCGTGCAGTGACTGGGGGAACTCGTCTGTGCCAGGCTGTTTATCAGGACAAAAAAAAACCCAAACCCTGAATGGAAAGAACACAATCTCTATTACATGCTTGTGTGTAGCATTAATAACCTGTCAGGGAAGACGACAACATCCCTGATTAGGAAAAATGGAAAGGGGGAAGGTCTTGGGGTGGATTTATTCAGCTCTGCTCATCCAGGCTTCCCATGGTTTGCTCAACGTTCAGCCAAGATGAAGCAAACTTCCCCTAACAGGTGGTGCCTGTGAATTAAAATGGGAGAGTGTGGGAGAACTGGCTGGAGATTCGTGTCCTTAACAGATAGATGCTGGAAACAATATTAATGCACATAAATACTGATTGAGCAGACAGAGAAATCAATCTGCAGATTCCTCCCCAGTTGGAACAGGAGCTCCCTGTGTAGGCACAGTGAGGGGGGGGGGATGTGGTCCTAAAAAAAAAAGGGTGTAGGCCAGGCAGGAGTTGGAAAAAACATGGAAGAAAGAGTGGAAGGAATTGCTCAAAGCTGGACTCGGGAGCTGAGATGTTGCTGTGAGATGTGTGGAGTGGAGACAAACATAAAACCCCAAGCAAACAGCTAAAATTAAATGTACACCTCTAACACACTCTTCATTAGCACGAAGCCATAAGAGCATCAGTTTCTGTCAACAGAACATTAAAACAAACTGAGCTCTGTTCTTATATTTATGTTCTGAAGGAAAACAAAGCTGTCTCAAAAGCTTTTAACTTCTCAAGTAAAACAGCTACCAATTCCTGACCAGCTAATATAAATAATTCTAGCTCTGAATTTCCCCACAGAAAAAAACACCCTCCTCTTTTAAGCATTTCATTTTGCAAATAGATTGTTTACTTCAATAAAAACTAGGGAGGAAGTAAAGAGTAAAGATTAGAATAGACATTTAAATTAAGCTATAACTATTTGGCATCCAATCTGTCCATAATAATAAGATGAGAATCTGCAGCTTCAGGAACTGTAGCATATACAGGAGCTGAGATTATGAGCCCTCCTGCTTCAGGTTATGAAATGATGGAGGTCAGGAAGCAATTTTCTTGCATATATTGCTGACAGGCTGGAGACATTGCAGGAATTTTTGCATATTTTTTGAAACATCAGTTATAAGTCACTGTCAAGAAGAAGAGCCCAGACAAGGCAGGTATTACTTTTTATATAAATGAATTTCAAAAGAAGAGCCGGCTCCTCCAGCTCTCACTGTGACAAAAGTCCTACCACAGGACCAAAACCAGCAGATCACTGGAGGGACTGGATGCTCCCAGACCTGCTTTTCCAGCTGGGAAATGGGAGGCACAGGAACACCTCCAGGTTTGTAAGTTCAAGGCTGCACGTGCTGGGGATTGACATCACTTGGATGTTTCTGGGATGTGAAGCCTTAAAAACCAGCCAAGCCACGGCTCCCCACGGGCTGTGGTGAAGCCAGACCATAAAAACAAGGGGACAGGGTGTCAATGAGGAGCAGGGAAGTGCAGCCCAGCCTGCTCACAGCAAACAGCCCCGTGGAGGCCCTGCCTGGCCTCTCCAGAGGCTCCAGCCTCGGGAAGTGGCATCACCACATCCCTGCATCCCAACCCCTCAGCCCCATCACTGCAGTCAGGGGCACTCACCCCTCCCAAAAACAGCTTGTCTTGCTGTGGTGGGAATTAGAGAATCACAGGATTTCCTGAGCTGGAAGGGATCATCCAGGGATCATCCAGGGGTCATCCAAGGATCATCCAAGTCCGAATCCTGGCCTTGGTCAGTCCAAGTCTTGCCCCGAGGTTTTCCACCCGTGGCTGTGACCCCTCAGTGGTTCTTCTGGGTTTGGGTGGTGCCATGGGCAGTGCCAGGGAAGGCTGAGCATGACCTAAAACCAGCTGGAAGGGAAAATTCTGGGGTTAATACCTGGGAGAGTGATTATTTCTTTTTGAACAAATAAACTGTTTTATCACTGGAGTGGAAAAGAGATTTTACCCTGTACCAGTATTGCCTGTTCTACTCATTTTACACCAGCACTTCCAGTGATGATCTGGGATGTTCCAAAAGTCCTGTGAGTGTTTGCCCCATGGAAAAACCCTGACCCAGCCAGCACTGGGAGCATCCAGGGCCATGGGGAGCAAGGAGAGGCACCCCAGAGTCTCACCCTTAACAGTGAAAACATGAAATTAAACTGTACCACCACGATGTGTGTGTGTGGGGGGGGGGGGGGGGAAATATGTCTTTGCAAGAGGAGGAATAATGGTTTATAAAAATAAATCTCTCTTCAAAGTGAAGTGAGTCATTCACAGCAGCCTCTTCAACATGACAAACAGCTCGTGGAGCAAAACAAAGAGTAGATCTTTCGCTCTCATTACCAAGACTGAATGTACTCCCCGAGCACTGAGAGGCACTTATGATTTATGCTGGTAAAAATCAATTGTGTTTTATTGATTACCAAGATTAAGGGGGGTAAAAAAAAAAAAAAAAGTTTGGTTAAACCCAGAGCACTGTTTTATCTTCAGGCCTGAAGTTAAACTGGAACGCTGGCAGCTTCCAAATTGATTGGAGAAAGGTGGGCATGTCCTTTATATGCAGGGCTGAATATCTCATATGGTGATAGCAAAGGAGTGAACTTGGGGTTTGCACGGCTAAATTTACGTCAAGGAAATCACAAAGTCAAACCCAAGGTCATTTGTGACACAGGATGGCAGAGATTCACCCAGCTGTGCAGAGGGAGGGGAAAAAAAAAAAGAGATTTTTGGCAGTTTTGGTTCGCATTTATGGTATTTAAGCACTTAGGAGCCTGATTCGTAATTGGTGCCAGATGCTCTCAATACACATAGGAAAAGACAGCCTTTGTTCCCATAAATTAATATTCTATAAAAAGCCAGGCTGTGGAAGTGAGAAGGAGGGTTTCCCTGGGTGACAAAGGTCACTGGGGATCATGTGAGGACCGTGCAGAGGAGGTGGGATGGAGCCCCTGGGCCCTGCCCTGGGTGGGGTGGGCAGGCAGCAACCCCTCACCCCTGAGGCCATGGGGACACGGGGACTGTCCCCTTGGCCACCCAGGTGCCACCAGCAGTTGTGCCCCGGGTGCTCCAAGGATTTGCTGCTCGTCGCTTGTTAACGCGGAAAGTTTCGTGTGGTACAAAAGGCCCGGCAGTGATCAGCCCCTGCTATCTAAATTAAATCTCCCTGCTGTAAAATTCCAGGTTTCTCGCACAATTTCTGCTCCTGAAAGAGGCTCCTGATGTGGAGTCCCACGAACGGGAGGAACTACAAGGTCACAGCATTCAGTGAGTGAAAAAAAGGAAAAAAAAGAACCAGCAGAACAGGAGATTAAGTCTTAATTTCAGGGCAAAGTTCCATTTCTTTGAGATTAATCTGGGCTGTATGTATGCAATACCCTGGCTCAGTAATTAAAGGCAGAATGATTTATACAGCTGCAAGTCGTGGAGGGGATGTTGTTCCTGGGCTGGGTACAGTTGGCTCCAGCAGACCCGACTAAATTGGAACCCTTTGTCCCAGGGAGATGCTTTTTTGGCTCATCCCGGTTTCCTGGCCAGATTGCAGCTCAGGGAATCTCCCTGCACGTCTCACTTCCAGCTGACACATCCATGGGGCTGGGGACAAACCCTGGCATGGCTGTGGGCTGCCAAGGAGAGCTGTGTCCTATTTTAGGGGCAGCTACAGCTGTAGGTGGCTGTGACCTCCCAG